TGGCTTAACTTTGGGCTGGTGCTGGCTTAACTTCGGGCTGGCACTGGCTTAACTTTGGGCTGGCGTTGGCTTAACTTTGGGCTGGTGCTGGCTTAACTTCGGGCTGGCGTTAATGTTAGCTTTAGGCTCGCTTAATGTTAGGCTCACTTAACTGGTAACTTTAGAAACTTTAGCTTCAGCCAGGGGTTAACTTTAGCCCTGCTTAACTTTAACTACAGGCTGGGGTTTGCTTCAGCCTTACTTAACTTTTAACTTCAGCCTGGGGTTAACTTCAGGTTCGTTTAACTTCAGGTTTGCTTAACTTCAACTTCAGGCTCACTTAACTTTAACTTCAGGCTCACTTAACTTTAATTTCAGCCTGGGATTAACTTCAGCCCTGCTTAACTTTAGCTTCAGCTCCACTTAACTTTTAACTTCAGCGCAGCTGTAACTTCAGGCTCACTTAACCTTAACTTCAGGCTCATTTAACTTCCACTTCAGTCTGGTGTGAGCTTCAGCCCCGCTTAACTTCTAGCTTCAGCCCAGTGTTAACTTCAGGCTTGCTTAACTTCCACTTCAGGCTCGCTTAACTTCCACTTCAGCCACACTTAACTTCCGCTTCAGCCCCGCTTAACTTTAATTTCAGCCTGGGGTTAACTTCAGCCCCGCTTAACTTTTAGCTTCAGCCTGGGGTTAACTTCAGCCCCGCTTAACTTTTAGCTTCAGCCTGGGGTTAACTTCAGCCACGTTTTTTTAACTTCGGCCTGGCTTCAGCCCCGCTTAACTCCAGCTCGGCTTAAATCTCCAGAAGTCCAGATGTTCATCTGCAACCGGGAGGTGTACGGGTTCCTGCCGGTGCCGCTGCGCTCCCACAGCACCTTGCGGGACGAGGCCGAGAGCTTCCTGCACGTCCAGCTGGAGATCATGGGTGAGCGGCGGCGGCATCGGCGTCACTCCCAGCGCGGCGGCGGCGCTCCGAGCGCCTCCGTGCCCGGACCCGGCCCCTGGGGAGGCTTCGCCCCCCAGCCCCGGGGTTCTCCCCCTCCCCGCAGTGAAGAACCCGCCGGCGGAGCCCTCCCCCCACGTCTGGGTCCCCCCCAAGGTCCCCGACAAGATGGGCTTCGACGAGGTGAGGCCGCCCGCCCGGGGCTCCCCGCGCCGCCCAGTTTGGGGGGTTCTCCTCTGGATTTGGGGGTTTAGGTTTTTCCTCTTCTCTTCTGGATTTTGGGGATTTTTGCCCCTTTTTTTTCTGAATTTTGGGGCTTTCTCCCCTCCCCTTTCCTGGATTTTGGGGTGTTTCCTTCCCCCCCTCTGGAACATGTGTCCCCCCCTTCTCTTCTGGATTTTGGGGTGGTTTTTCCCTTTTCTTCTGGAGTTTGGGTTGGTTTGGTTTTTTTTTTCCCCTTTGCTTCTGAATTTTGGGGTTCCTCCCCCATTCTGGATTTTGGGGTGGTTTTTTGCCCCCCATCTTCTGGAATTCGGGGTTTTCCCCCCCCCCCTTTTCTTCTGGATTTTGTGGTTGTTCTTCCCTTTTCTTGTGAATTTGGGGGGTTTTCTGGGTTGGTTTTTTTTCCTTTTCTTCTGAATTTTGGTGTTCCCTCCCTTCTGGATTTTGGGATGTTTTTCCCCCCCCATCTTCTGGAATTTGGGGGTTTTCCCCCTTTTCTTCTGGATTTTGTGGTTGTTCTTCCCTTTTCTTGTGAATTTGGGGGGGGGTTTCTCCTCTCTTTTCTGGAATTTGGTTTTTTCCTCCCCTTCTCTTCTGGATTTTGGGGTTGTTTTTTCCCTTTTCTTCTGGATTTTGGGGGTGTCCCCCCCCCCCTTCTGGATTTTGGGGGTTCCCTCTCCCCTTCTGGATTTTGGGGTGGTTTCCCCCCTTTCTTCTGGATTTTGGGTCATCGCCCCCTTCTGGATTTTGGGGATTTCCCCTCTCCTGAATTTGGGGGTTTTTCTCCCCCTCTCCCTGATTTTGTGTCCCCCCTTCCGGATTCGGGGTCGTCCGTCCATGTCGTGTCCCCCCGTATTCTGGATTTTGGGGCCTTTTTTCCCCTCTTCTGAATTTTGGGGTTTTTTTACCCGCTCTTCTGGATCTTGGGGTTTGGTTGGGGTTTTTCCCCCCCCCCATTCTTTCTTCTGGATTTGGGTTTTTTTTCCATTCTCTTCTGAATCTGGGGGTTCCTCCCCCCCCTTCTGGATTTCGGGGTTTGGCTTTTTTATTTTCTTCTGGATTTGTGGTTTTTTTCCCCTTCTCTTCTGAATTTTGGGGGGTTTTCCCCCCTCTCTTCTGGATTTTGGGGGGTGGGGTTTTTTTATTTTCTTCTGGATTTGCGTTTTTTTTTCCCCTTCTCTTCTGAATTTTGGGGTTCCCCCCCCCCCCCCTTTTCAGGTTTTCATGATTAACCTGAAGCGGCGGGCGGACCGGCGGGAGCGGATGCTGCGGACACTGTACGAGCAGGAGATCGCCTGCAAGCTGGTGGAGGCGGTGGACGGCAAGTGAGTCTGGGGAGGGGACCGCGGCGGCGGGTGAGCCCTGGGGCCGCCCTCCGGGGGGGATTTTCCCTCGGGAAGGGTCCCAGGACGGAGCCGGTTGGGTTGCAGAGCCATGAACAGCAGCGAGGTGGAGGCGCTGGGCATCCGGATGCTGCCGGGGTACAAGGACCCCTACCACGGGCGGCCGCTCACCAAGGGGGAGCTGGGCTGCTTCCTCAGCCACTACCGCGTCTGGCAGGAGGTGAGTGAGGCTGCGGGGGCCTAATCCTGCTGGGGACGGAGGGGACAAGCCCCTAATCCTGCTGGGAAGGAGAAAAATCCCTAATCCCGCTGGGGAGGGAGGGGACGATTCCCTAATCCTGCTGGGAAGGAGATAAATCCCTAATCCTGATGGGGAGGAAGGGGACGAGCCCCTAATCCCGCTGCGGAGGGAGGGGATGAGTCCTTAATCCTTCTGGGAAGGAGACAAATCCCTAATCCCGATGGGGAGGAAGGGGACGAGCCCCTGATCCCGCTGGGGAGGGAGGGGATGATTCCCTAATCCCGCTGGCGAGGAAGGGGACGAGTCCCTAATCCCAGTGGGAAGGAGACAAATCCCTAATCCTGCTGGGGAGGAAGGGGCCGAGTCCCTAATCCCAGTGGGAAGAAGACAAATCCCTAATCCTGATGGGGAGGAAGGGGACAAGTCCCTAATCCCACTGGGAAGAAGACAAATCCCTAATCCCGCTGGGGAGGAAGGGGATGAGTCCCTAGTTCTGATAGCGAGGAGGGGAACAAGTCTCTGATTGTGATGGTAATGAAGGGGACAAATCCCTCATCCCGACAGTAAGGAAGGGGATAAATCTGTAATCCCGATGGGAAGGAACGGGACAAATCCCTAATCTTAACGGGAAGGAAGGGGACAAGTCCCTAATCCCGATGGGAACGAAGGAGACGTCTCCCTAATCCCGATGGGAAGGACAGGAACGAGTCCCTAGTTCTGATGGTAACAAAGGGAACTGGTCCCTAATGCTAATGAAGGCGATGAGTCCCCAATCCCGACAGTAACAAGGGGGACAAATCCCTAATCCCGACAGCAAGGAAGGGGACAAATCCCTGACCCCAGTGGGAAGGAAGGGGACAAGTCCTTAGTCCTGGCAGTAAGGAAGGGGACGAGACCCTAATGGTCAATGAAGAAGATGAGTCCTTAATCCCAATGGTAAAGAAGGGGAAAAATCCCTAATCCCAAGGGGAAGGAAAAGCGTGAGCCCCTAATTCTATCGGGAAGGAAGGGGACGAGCCCCTAATCTTGATGGTAAAGGAGGGAATGAGTGCCTAATTCCGATGGGAAGGATGGGGATAAGTCCGTAATCCTAAAGGGAAGGACAGGGACAAGTCCCTGATCCCAAGGGGAAGGATGGGGACAAGTCCCTAATCTTAAAGGGAAGGATGGGGACAAGTCCCTGATCCTGATGGGAAGGATGGGGACGAGTCCCTAATCCTAAAGGGAAGGACAGGGACAAGTCTGTAATCCCGATAGGAAGGACGTGGATGAATCCCTAATCCTGAGGGGAAGCATGGGGACGAGTCCCTAATCCTAAAGGGAAGGACAGGGACGGGTCCCTAATCCCAATGGGAAGGACGTGGATGAATCCCTAATCCCGAGGGGAAGGATGGGGACAAGTCCCTAATCCCAACGGGAAGGATGTGGATGAATCCCTAATCCCAAGGGGAAGGATGGGGACGAGTCCCCTAATCCCGAGGGGAAGGACGTGGATGAATCCCTAATCCTGAGGGGAAGCATGGGGACGAGTCCCTAATCCCAATGGGAAGCCGTCGGAGGTGGCTGGGGCTGAGCGGAGCCGCTCCCGTCCCTGCGGCCTTTCCCTTTTTCCGTAAAAAGCCGCCGTTCCGGTTCAATCCGCAGATCGCGGCGAGGGGGCTGGAGAAGTCGGTGGTGTTCGAGGACGACCTGCGCTTCGAGATCTTCTTCAAGCGGCGCCTGATGAACCTGATGCAGGACCTGGAGGCGGAGGGGTTGGCCTGGGACCTGATGTGAGTCTCGCCGCTAACGACTCGCCGGCGCTAACGAAGGCCTCGCCGGCGCTAACGAGGGCATCGGGTCTCCCCGCAGTTACATCGGGAGGAAACGGATGCAGGTGGAGCGGCCGGAGAAGTCGGTGCCGCGGGTGAGGAACCTGGTGGAAGCGGATTATTCCTACTGGACGCTGGGTTACGTCCTCTCGCTGCGCGGCGCCCGGAAGCTGCTGGCGGCCGGGCCGCGCTGGCCAAGATGCTGCCCGTCGACGAGTTCCTGCCCGTCATGTTCGACAAACACCCGCTGTGAGTGCCGGGGCGGCCGACGGCGCCCGCGGGGGTCGGGGTTTGGGGGAGCGTCCCCGTGCCGCCGGGCTCGGAGGGGTTCCCCCTTGGCGCTGGCTTCTCATCCCTTTGGAGATGTTTCTCCTGCAGACATTTTTCTTATCCCGTTGGATCCGTTTCTTCGGGCCCACGTCCCCTAAGAGCTCGTTTCTTGCCCCGTGGAACTATTTTTCTTGTCCCTTGGGACCGGTTCTCCTGTCCCCATGGATGCGTTTCCCTTCGGAGCGGGTTCCTTGTCCCTTGGGAGCTGTTTCTCCTGTCTCTTTGGCTCCATTTCTCCTCAGAAACCATTTTGTGTCCCTCTGGAGCCACTTTTCCTGTCCCTTTGGCTCAGTTTCCCCTCGGAGACGGCTCCTTGTCCCTTTAGGACACATTTTCCTGTGTCCCTTCGGCTCAGTTTCCCCTCGGAGACGGCTCCTTGTCCCTCTGGCGATGGTGCCCTATCCCTTTGGAGATGTTTCTTGGCCTTTTGGATCTATTTTCCCTCGGAGACGTTTGTCCCTGTCCCTTTGGCTCTGTTTCTCCTCACAGCTGGTTCCTTGTCCCTTGGGAGCTGTTTCTCTTGTCCCTTTGCCTCCATTTCTCCTCAGAAACCATTTTGTGTCCCTCTGGAGCCACTTTTCTCGTCCCTTTGGAGCTGTTTCTCCTCTGAGACGGTTCCTTGTCCCTCTGGAGAGAGTTTTCTGATCCCTTTGGAGATGTTTCTTGTCTTTTGGAGCAATTTCACCTCAGAGATGTTTGTCCCTGGCCCTTTGGCTCCGTTTCTCCTCGGAGCTGGTTCCTTGTCCCTTGGGACCATTTCTCCTGTCCCCACGGATGCGTTTCCCTTCGGAGAGGGTTCCTTGTCCCTTGGGAGCTGTTTCTCTTGTCCCTTTGACTCCATTTCCCCTCCGAGACCATTTCTTGTCCCTTTAGGAGACATTTTCCACGTCCCTTTGGCTCTGTTTCCCCTCAGAGACGGTTCCTCATCCCTTGGGAGCCGGTTTGTCTCTTCGGAGCCGTTTCTCTCATCCCTTGGGATCCGCTTCTCTCGGAGCTTTTCCCCCTCGTCCCTTGGGCTCCGTTTTCCCTCTCGACGGTTCCTTGGCCCCTGGGAGCCGTTTTTCCTGTTCCTTCGGAGCCGTCGCCCTTGGATCCATTCCTCGGAGCCGTTTTTCTTGTCCCTTTGGCTCCGTTTCCCCTCGGAGGCACTTTCGTGTCCTTTGGGAGCCGGTTTCATGTCCCTTTGGAGCCATTTTTCCCTCAGCGATGGTTCCTTCTCCCTCGGGAGCCGTTTTTCTTGGCCCTTCGGCTGCGTTTCCCCTCGGAGCCGGTTCCACTTCCCTCGCAGCCATTTTCTCATCCCTCCGCCGGTTCCCAGGGCTCCGTTCTGGACCATTTCTCTCTCAAAAATCCTTCGCGTTCCAGTGGGAAAAGCGCTTTTCCCGGCCTTCTCTAACCCCTCTCCCTCCATCCCCAGCGCTGACTACACCAAACACTTCGCCAAGCGGGATTTGGTGGCCTTTTCGGCGGAGCCGCTGCTGGTGTTTCCCACCCACTACACGGGGGAGGAGGGTTACGTCAGCGACACCGAGACCTCGGTGGTGTGGGACGACGAAGCCACCGTCACCGACTGGGACCGCGCCAAGTCCCAGAAGATGAAGGAGCAGGAGGAGCTGCGGCGGGAGGCGCAGAATTCCGACGTGCTCCAGTCCCCCCTCGACAGCGCCGCGCGGGACGAGCTATGACCCGGCGGGGGCTGCGGGGGTGGGGGGACGATGACGCCGCTTTTAAATTCTATTTTTATTTTTATTTCTCGGTTTGGAGAGCGATGG